TGTGTGTGTGTGTGTGTGTGTGTGTGTGATGTGGGGCATGTGGGCAAATACTTCATAAAAATCTGTTGGTTGCACTAGCAGTCCCCTGTTATGTGAACGGGAGTGAGTACGTTGGCACACACAAATCTCGTCAGTGAAAATACAAGAAAGCACGGACATAAACACACATTCCCTTCTTTAAAACCTGTGTCCATAACATGCGGCATTTCGCGTTATCTGGCATGGATGTGCCTGAAAATATAGGGTTTGGGGGGTACGTACCTGAAGATTTGCACAAGACTATGGTGCAAGCCTGGGAGTGTGTGTGTGTGTGTGTGTGTGTGTGTGTGTGTGTGTGTATGAATGAAAAGTGATTTGTATGTGTTGCTGAGAGCATGGACATGCAGCATTTGTGTGTGGAGAGTTCACATGTGAGTGTGCACCAAACTGAGTGTGTGAGTGTGAGTGTGTGAAGCAGCCTGTTTCCTGGGAATGCCTCTAGAAGTGACTAGGAGGGAGATTGGGTACAAAATTGAGCCTTCATTATGTTTGCTAAGGTTGGGAGAGATCCGAATGGGGGAGGTTCATGTGTGTGTGTGTGTGTGTGTGTGTGTGTGTGTGTGTGTGTGTTTGCATGTGAGCCCCTGTGTGGATGGGTGTGTCAGGGTCTGGCCTCCTGGGTCAGTGTGGTCTCAGAACCCAGCTCTTTCAGGGTGTGCCTGGAGCATGCCAAGAGGGAAGTGTGGCTGAGGCACCCACCTGAAGATTGGCCCAGTCCTCAGGTTTCACTCATGACCCTGTGACATCAGCGGCAGCAGCTGTCCTCGCCGGCCGGCCGGCCCCCCAGCCAAGTCCCCCAGAGCTCCAGCCCCAGCCCGAGGTGGGCACGGCACCCCGGGCTCGTCCGCCACCGCTCCGCTCTGCTCCCGGCCAACAGTGAGTACTGTGCCTTTCTGTGCCAGCCCAGCCTGGTACCCCAAGGGGTGGGTCACCCCAAGAGACAGGTGACCCTGGCCTCAACCCCAGCATGGCTCTGAGGAAGTCACCACTTTGCTCTGGCACCGCTGACCTCTCCGCACCGGCTCTGTTGTCTGTGTCTGGACCCCGCTCTGCCGATGTGCCCTGTCCTTGTGCGCTAACCCTCTCTGTCCCGACTGGCCTTCTCTGCCCTGTCGTCTGTTCTGTCTGACCCTGCTGTCCGTCCCCTGAGCAAGGGTCCCCATTCTGGTCACAATAGCATGTGACCAAAGCTCAGCTCCAGACAGGCATAGGGTGACCCGAAGGACAGGGTCCAGGCTGTAGGTTCTTGAGGAAGGGACCTGAGGGAGAGTCAAAACAGTGAGTCGGCCGTCGGCTTGGCCTGCTTGCTGAGGCCGGGAGAAGCCGGGCAGAGGAGAGCGGCTGGAGGCCGGGTGGGGGTGGCGGCGGCTTCTTTGCTCTGTTGAAAGAGGATTCCATGAGATGCCAGCGGAGGACACATCCCGGCTGCCACCAGTCTAGGCTCTGCCCACTGTCCCGCCCTCCTCCAGCCCCTTCTGCCAGCCACAGGCCTCTTTTACTGGCAAGTTGGGGGCGGCGGGGGGGGGGGGGGGGGGGGGGAGAAGAGATGCAGTCCCACATAGCAGAGGGGGGGCCTAGGGGAGCAGCCCCATACAATCAAGAGGGATGTGGGATGTTGAACCACAGAGTGTGCCTTGAGAGGAAAGAAGGGGTCATAGCACTCAGGGAACTCTGGGGACCAAGAGAGTCCTGAGAGGACTTGAGGACATATGGGTTCCCAGTGTAGGTCAGGGGAGCAGTGTCCAGCAGACCCCCACCCCCCAGACCCCCTTTACTAAGAATAGGGCCATCAGGACACCAGGACAGGGTGGGCAGTAGTGGCTGGCAGAGAAGAGGTGTGACTAGAGCTGGGAGACACTGCCTGGAGAGGCAGGGCCGGTTGGGTGTCCAGGTGTTTATGGGAAGGGTCAACTTACTGGAAGTTATGAAGGCATCCATCCCAGTCTTAGCTGGGCATAGTGGTATACACCTGTAATCCCAGCACTTGGGAGGCTGAGGCAGGAGGATTGCCATGAATTCAAGGCCAGCCTGGGCCCCATATGACTTCATATGGGTAGAGACTGAGGTCTCCAGGTCAGAGCAATGTGGGGCTAGGCTATGTCCAAGGGTTCAGACCCTCTGAATGTCAGGAGGCGGCCCCCACACCCCCACCTGAAGTTCACACACGAACAAGTCACTCAGCAGAGCCTGGGAAGGCTAGAGGCATGGGGAGCCTTTGATGAGGTCCTGCCAATGAGCAGGTAGGGAAGTTTCGGGGAGGTGTCAGGAGCAACATACGTCATCAACCATCTGCCAGCACAGCTATGGCTGTATCAAGAGTACCCTAGCAGTGGCGAGGCTGGGTGGCATTGTGTGGGGTTGGCGATAGCGGTAGGTAGGTTGTTTTTTTCTAGGACCCCTCCAGATACTTCTGGGGTTACCCCCAAGTCCTCTGCCTGTAGTATGAGGCATCACCCTCTGGGGTAGTGATGGGGACAGGGTAGAAGCTAAATATCCCAGGATCTTTGAACCTGTCAGGAGAGCATCCAGGCAAAGGTAAGCCAGGCCCAAGTCTCCACAGTGTCCAGATCACAGAGAACAGAAACCACGGGCCTTGCATCCAGTGATCTCAGCAGCCTGCCATCAGCTGTAGCCCAGGCACCCCTCAAAGGATTATATGTAGGGATTTAGGGCGTTAGGAGAAGGTGGATGAAGAACCTTTGGAGGCCCAGCCTGGCCCTGCTTGTCATTTCCGGTTTGGAAATATGCATGCTTCAGAATTCAGGACTGGGGGTCACCTCCCCTGCTCAAAGATAGGCAGATGAGAAGCCTGCTCCAGTAACTTCTCAAGAGCGTCTGTCCACCCCAGACCAGGACCTGACTCGGACACAGCGGGCACCGGATCTCCTGGTGAGATGCGAGCGTCCTGACGAGGGCCCTCTGCCTTGGGGGCCTGGCAGTTCTGGCCATCAGAACAGCAAGGAAACATGGGTGGGAGGAAGTGGCGGATAGCGCCGCTGAAGGCAGGAAGAGGCAGAATGGAGAAGAGAGAGGGGACCAGAGGTCCCAGAGCAGGGAAGCAGCTGCCCCATGAAGTCTGGAGAGCGGGGGGAGACATGAGGGGCACAGAGGCAGATTGTGGGTGACAGCTACACTTCACGGGCCATGCCGTCGGCATCTTCAACACCTTTCCGCCAGATACTTGGACGCAGAGGGGGTCACACTGAAAGGGAGCGGCCAGGGCTCAAGCCTCAGTGGTCAAGGCCCCTGCTCTCTGGGGAGGACTCGGGGGGACTGAGTCAGGACAGAGCTTTCCTGGGACCGTGCAGACTATGAGTTGTTGGGGCAGGTTCTGGGGCTCTGGGTCAGTCTGGTGGCTCTTTCAGGGGTCGCCAGTCCCACTGAGGCAGGGCCAGGGCAGGTCTCACTGTGGTTCCATCGGCAGGAGCTGGGGACCCGGGTTTCTTTCACCTTTATCCCCCACTCCTGGCCTCTGTATGTGCATCCCGTTCTGCAGCATCAGCATTGGCTATTTTTATTCCCTGCCGTTTTCAGTCAACACCCTGGGTTGAGGGTGGGGAGGGTGGCAGAGGAGTGAGGGGCTCCAGGGGTCCTAAAGGCAGTCGAGTGGGCAAGGGGGAGGCAGATGAGGCAATGTCCCTGTCTCGGGGCCCCCTGCCTGGAGTCCTGGCCTAGGAGGGAAGGGTAAAATCCAAGTCACTGGACTCTGCTCAGGAGCCCCTGGTGGGTACTTATAGCCTGTCAGTGGCAGGTTAGCCTGGTGGTTAGGACAAGCTGAGGGCCCAGCTGTCAATCCCAGTTACTAACTGCATAATGAGCACCTGGTAGGCCACTTACCCTTTCCAGGTCTCATCTATCAGCAAAGTGATAACAACAAAATCACAGAGAGGATGCAGCGAGTTCACGGGCACTGGAGTGCCCAGAGCAATAGCTCCACTGCAGTAGCTGTATAGAAGAGCTCATTAAAACCACAATAAAACACCTCACCACAGGAGTGAGAGAAGGAAGAGGCGACAGCTTCTGGGAACCCTTCAAAAACCAAGATCTGGAGCCCGAGGCGATGGCTCGCTCCATAAAGTGCTTGTTCCGCAAGCTTGAGGACCTGAGTTCGGGTCCCCAGCCAGCTGTGCCCGTTCCCAGCACTAGGAGGTAGAGACAAGAGGCCCCCTGAGGCTTGCTGGTCAGCTAATCCAGCTGAATCAGCGAGCGCCAGACCCCCAAAACAGGACACCGAATAGTGACCTCTAGCCTTAACCCACATATACGCACATGTATGCGCACCACACACACACACACACCAAGGGTGGGGGAAGTCAGGGATCTTTCTCTCCTTATCTGATCTCCCTGGAAGTGAGGGCCTCTATAGCATGGACTGTGGAGACCTCCAGCTAGGTTGCTATGGGGGCTTGGAAGTAAACAAGGCCAAGGCCCTCCCCTCAGAGTCCTCCGTAGCAAGGTCTGCTGTTGACCCGTGTCCTTGTTGAAGCTGGCAGGTTTCAGTCGGTCTGACTTTGGAAAAAGGACCTCAAAGAGGAGAAGGAGGAAGGCTTTCCTGACACAACTTCTAAGGAAAGTCCCCAAGAGCAGGAAGAGGCAGCACAGGCCACCTGAGGACAGGTGGCAGCCGCCAGGGCAGAGTCTGTCAGCCATCCTTGACATCTCAGGTGTTGCCGGATGGCTGGCAGCCACAGTCCCTGCTCCCAAGGCCTCTGCAAGGAGGCCTGTCAGCTCCCCCTCCCCATGTGATAGGGGCTGACAGTAGATATAGAGCTAGGTTGGTCCTGGAATTCTCGGGAGGGTCGGAGGAGCGTGGTGCAGTATAGAGAGGTTAAAGGCAGAGCAACAGAGGCAGGGAGTTCCTGAAAGGAATTACCCAGGAGGAGGAGCCATGGTGGTGGAGGCAGGCCCCCACCCCACACATGTTCAGAGCAGGTGAGTGGCTCACACATGACTACAGTGTGTGCAAACGGCACTTTGGGGAGGGCACCATTGTATACTAGGTATTGTTCCGTAGAGCGATTTGAGCCAACAGAAGGGAGGAAGCCCCAGGCTTGGATAGAACGAATCAGTCTCCCCACCCCTTTGAGCAGCTGGGAAATGAGTCAGAGTTGAGGGAGCGCTCCTGTGTGTGTGTGTGTGTGTGTGTGTGTGTGTGTGTGTGTGTGTGTGTGTAAATAGGCCATAGTGGGATCTGGGAAATGAGTCATGGAGTTGATGAGAGAGACAAAGAGACAGAGAATGGAGAATGGATCATACAAATGGGCCACAGTGGATGGAGTTGTGTATGTGTGGTAGTTCACTGGTTCCAGTAAAAATAAACTTCAGTTAGGGTTAGTGGTACAACCTATAGTAAAAGTAAGTCCAAGCTACATACAGAGACCCTGTCTTGAAAGAAAGAAAGAAAGAAAGAAAGAAAGAAAGAAAGAAAGAAAGAGAGAGAGAGAGAGAGAGAGAGAG